GTTGGGGCAGGGCCGATGGTGACGGAACGAGATCGATTCGTGCGCGGTATGCGCGTTGGCAGCGTGGACACGTTGGAAGCTGCGGATGGAGGAGGAGGCGAGGCTCTTATGATTTGCGAGCCTCCGTTTGGCTTTGGCGGCGACGATCCGACCTCCTTCGTAAATGGATGCGCTGGTCTTCACTTCCCTTCGCAATGCCGGTCTGCTCTGGGTGAGGTCCGCCCAGCTCTTCGAGTTGATCTACAGTCGTTTCAGAGAGTTCTTCAAAGTTTCCTTGTAGCCCTGTTTTCGTTCTCCTTATCGACAAGTACCCGTGACGACGTCAGCATAGAAGAATTGTTTTGGTTGACATGCATCTCCCATCCTCACGAGATTACCGCTCCAACGTAGTTGAGGCTGCCTCAACATGACGTGAATGCTGAGGATTCTGGTCCGTCCTATGACTTTCGTGTCGGGTATCCTGTCCTGTCATCTCAGATTTAGTACTCTGCTAAGACAGCTGAAATGTAAGTGTCTCTTGACACAGCTGCGGTAGACGGTCTAGGTCACCGCTCCGGAGGGAAGTTTCGACGGCCTTGTACATATTAAGCTGGAGGCCGTGGCGATTCCACACGTAGTTCTGCGGCCGGCCGAAGGCTATGCTGGCTTAAGAGATCCGGTGGGCCACTTCGTCGACAATTCCGATGCGGTGATACATTGTGCTACCTAGGTAGTTGCAGGCATCTACGATCTTCAAGTCGACGCGGATGCAAGAGAAACTGTATTAAGCGGTCGGTGGTTGTTGATGCATGATCACCGTCTTGCCCGTATTAATAGTCAGTCTGAAGTGGGAGCAGCCGGAGGCAAAGAGATCCATGCTCCGTCCCATGTCTTCTTCAGTCGTGCTGTCGAGTGCTCAGTCGCCAGCATGGAGAAGATCGTGGATAGCAGTTGCGGAGAGACGCGTCGGGGCCTGAAACCGCCGGCTATTGAGGTGTCTGTCGGTCCTGCAGTAGATACGAATCCCGGGACGTCCATCGGCATAGCAGAAAACATGAGGCCGAAAAGGGTGGGCGCGAGTACCCGGCCCTGTTCCATTCCAGTGGTCACTGCGGATGCTGCAGAGATTGCGCCGTTGTTCGTGACGCGCGCCATTATCCCATCGTGGAGCTGACGTACCGTGTGCGTGAATCGCTCGGGACAGTCGAGCTGCCGCGTGATTCTTTATAGTTCATTGCGATTCACGGTGTCGAAGGTTTTCAGCATATCCATGAAGGAGGCGTAGAGGCGAGTCCGCATCTTCCGGGCAGCAAAGGTCCATACCAGGGGCTGTGTGGTGTCTCCGGAATCCACATTGGCTTTTCGGCAAATGTCCTTGTTCTAAGTGTCCGTTGAGACGATTGAGGAGGATGTGGGCGAAGATCTTTCCAGCGATGCTGAGTAGCGAGATACCCCTGTGGTTGTCACAGAGTTGCCAGTTCACTTTGCACTGGTTGCAGATGGTTGCGTCTTTGAAATTTTGAAATCCTGAGGAACCTGCCTGCAGCGCCACATCTCCTGAAATAGCGCCGTTAGTTGCTCCATCAGTCCGTAGCCGCCGTGCTGGTCGATTTCAGCTGAAATCGCATCGAGGCCGGGTGCTTTCCCGCGGCAGAGTTGTTGCACGGCGCAGATGGTTTCTGGAGAGAGGGCGGGAAGTCCAGGTCGGTGTCGCTTTCCACTTGGAGGAGCCGGTCGATGCCGGCGTCGGAGATTGCGGGGGAGGGGGGCGGTTGAGGACGCTTCTGAAGTGCTCGGCCCAGCGCTTCAAAATCTGCGACTTCTCCACCAAAAACGTTGATCCATCGGAGCTGAGAAGCGGTGCGGTTCCTTTGGAGGCTGCAGATCGCCTTGAGCGCAGTGAAGAAGTTCTTCTACTCGTTGCTATCGACATATCCCTCGGTCTTGCGAACCGTCCGGGAGTCTTGTATTTCTCGCAATCGTTGCTGCAGAGGGCGGCGATATTAGTAGAAGGCCTGCTTGTTCTCGTCAATTGGACAGTCGAGGTAGACCCTGTGTAGCCTGTTCTTCTCGGCGAGCAGGTTATTGGTGGCTGCGTCGTTGCCTTCAAACCAGTCCTGGTGCTGGCGACGTGCGCGGGCGAGGACAGCCAGGCCGGTTGAGTGAACGACCTCCCGTAGTCCGCACTATTGAGTCTCCATGAAGGCGTTTTCAGCTGATGCTGGCAGTTCTTCTAGCCGCTGGGTCAGTTGATTGCTGAAAGGCAAACGGTCAGCAGGCAGAGACAAAAATGTGGTTTTCAGCTTTCCTGGGGGCACTTACCTTGTGCCCTCCTGCGGGGTTACAGGCGGAGCCTCGTCTTGGGGATGGCGATGCAGTGATCCGTACGGTCAGTGGCAGTGGGAGGGGTGCAGGGGTGTGGAAATACACACGCGGATACCCTCACCTGGTTTAGCCGGCCGGTCGGGGCGGTTAGGGGGTGTGGCCTGTGTTCAGAGCCTAGCGTCGGGGAGCCACCTGTGAGAGTTGGGTTTATTGGACGCTAGGTGTAGTCAACACCTGCAAGCAAGTGAGCGAACTACTACGACCGTCACGTGGACCCATAACTGGACGCGCTTACATCTCAACTGCTAGTGTATGACCGAGGCAGTGCGTTACTACAGTTGTACTCACTCGAGATTCAGTTAAAACTGAGACTGTGCTGAATTTAGTTGCTGTTCATCTTATGGGACCTATGGCGGTGGGTCAATCAATCCCACGAATGAAGCGTCCGTGCATGCTCTGACGTGTTTTCTGCAAATAAACATATAGTTGCGCCTCTGGTCTGTCCGATGGTCGTGTTGTTTAGATCCCACAAGAGATCTCATGGACGAGTTCATTCATTTTCGGACCAATGGCAGATCATAGTTATTTCTAGTGCAACCCCCAAGGAGATCACGCAGCAAGTGGATTTTTCAAACCTGGTTACTTTATAAATGACTTGTGCCTTACCGGTCTTCACTGTCCGGAATAAGTCCTCCCAGCCATCTCGGCCTGAGGGTCTGTCTATTTATGGGCATAGTGGGGTAGAGCTGTCAGTTCAACAGGGTAACGGAGCATTATCCAGCACATCGAACACGGCTGTTAAACGCGACCTGTTTGCGTCAAGTTCTTCATTATGTGTCCCTAAAAATCCCTTCTGACTAGCTTCTCGTCTTCCGGCTTCTGCCATCTTTCTCTCCCGATTCGGTCATATCCTGCGGGATTCGAATCGCGCTACAACGTCTGGAACAAACCTCCATCAGTGGACCGAATGTCGATTATGCGCACTCGTGTAACCTGAAGTCGTTTGTGGCGGAGCAGACTTACACAGCGTCTATCGCGTTTTTTTCTTCCACCACCCGTCTTTTTTCCGATGGCACTTCAATACGGTGGAGCAATTTGCTGACCGAATTCTGAATGACACCGTCCATCCCCTTCATAATGAGTTAATGGCTGCGAAATCCTTACGCCCCATGCGTCGATGCTTCTGCCACATCCCTTGTCGCACTTCGGCTTATCAGAATTCCATACTGCCATTTCTAGCCCGGTATCTCACCTGCAAAGATGCTGAAAAACAAAAGTTAAAACTCGATCTTGCACCTTAAAGTCCTTTTTTCTTCATATATAATTATGTCAACCTGTCCAATACCTGTTAATTTCCATGGTAATCACTGTGTACTGGAGAACCGTTTTTGCTGAAAGTTTTGAATGTTATTTTCAAAATAAAGCTTTCC